AAGGGGGAGGAAGGGGGAGGGGGAGCCCCCTTCTCTGTGTATCCTGAAGAAAGGGCATGAGGATTTGGTTCAGATCCTCAGAACTCATGTAGACGGCAGGTGTGCACATGTGGGAGTCTGCCTGTGCAGACGGCAGGTGTGTACGTGTGGGAGTCTGCCTGTGTAGATGGCAGGTGTGTACGTGTGGGAGCCTGCCTATGATTCCAGTACATAGAAACTGGTTAGCTGGACCCATCATACTGATTAGCACTGGGTCCAGTGGAAAGACCCTGCCACAGGCAATAAGGTGTGGAGAGGTCGGGAAGACTCCCAACATCAATGCCTGGCCTCCACACGTGTGCTCTCGTGTACATGTAACGTCTGCACACATATATGTGTTACATACACACAGAGACCTGCACACACACACGCGACTAATCAGTTGTACAATGAGAGAAAGCCTTTGAGGTGAGGTCACGCACTTAGGAATACCTCAACTAAAAATGGGTTGCCAGGAGGAGGAATTAAAGTTGTGCATGCAAATCTATTATTTTTAAGTGCACCCTGAATTCTGTTTAGTAAAATGGCATATTTGTCACAAAGCATGGCACCCAAGTTGGCTTTAGCTGTAAAGCTGACACAGGCTGTAGTTGCCTGAGAAGGAGATCTCCCTGGGGGATTGCTTAGCTCGGATTGGCCTGTGGGTATGTCTGTGGGAGTAGTTTTAATTGTTAATTGATGTAGGAGGGTTGAACCCACCATAAGTGGCCCCATTCCTGGACCTTCAAGCCTGTTTTTAGTGCTGTCTTTTGAAGTCTGAGCCTGTTAACTTTCTCCGTTAGGTTTCTGAGTGAATTCGTAGCCCACTCTGAAGTAGGCTCTTGAGGAGCATGCGTTCTCTCACTCAGCGCATGTGTGTTCGTAAGTGCATGCCAGTGTGTGTACAGGCATACATGTGTGTATAAGTGTGTGTGTGTATGTGCACATGTGTGCATGTACAGGCATACATGTGTGTATAAGTGTGTGTATGTGCACATGTGTGCATGTACAGGCATACATGTGTGTATAAGTGTGTGTATGTGCACATGTGTGCATGTACAGGCATACATGTGTGTATAAGTGTGTGTGTGTGCGCGCATGTGTGCATGTGGAGGCCAAAGGTCAATGTTGGGTACAGTTCCTCAGGCTCTGTCCACTCTTTTGGAGTCAGAGTCTCTCACTGGCCTGGAGCTTGCTAATGAGGCTAAGATGGCTGGCCAGCGACCCCAAGAATCTGCTTATCTCTGCTTCTCCAGTGCTTGGATCACATGTGTGCCTTTCTTTGTGGGTTCCAGGGACAGAACTCGGGTCCTCTGGCTGACTTGTCAAGCACTCACTAACTGAACACTCTGCCCAGCCCCACCAGACACACTCTGCCTCCCCCTTTCCCACGGCAGCTGGAGTTCTGGCGTCGAATTGTGTCGGAAGGCAGAAGGATCCAGTGACGCCTCCTCTCAAGCGCCGAGTCACATACAGAGAGCAAGCCCCCTTCTCCCACTTTCCCATTCGAGTGGAAGGCTATTAATCACACTGAGTGACAAAGACTCTCCGTGTTGTGCAATTGACACAGGATGAATCTTTGTTACTGATTGCAAATAATAGAACTATGGCACTTATGCAGAGTCAATCGGGGAGGCCAAACCTGCATGGTTATTCAGTGGCATGCGGCGGGCATGTGGCGTCTCCTTTGGCCTCTGCCTGCGAGACAGAACAGACATTATCTTGTACATTCCTTCCCTGAAAACAGCCTCCATCCTACTTTGCTTGTTCAGTCCTGGCGCAGGGACAACCTGTCTCTTTATATTAGTTTAGTTCTGTAAAGAAACAGTCATTTAGAAGGAAATAGTCAGAAAATTTGGGCAGGGATCCATTTTTAAAGTTGCAACTGAATGATTGCTTTCTTATTGTGTGACGTCGGGCTGCAAAAGCCATTCATTTCTGTACACATGTTTCTCTTTTACTTTCTTAGCTTTGTGTTTTCATACTGCTCAAAACTTACATATGTGCCAGAATGAAAACAGTTTCAAAGGGCAGGTTTTCAAGGACTCCTAAAAATAGGACCTATTGCCAAATGCACAGCCCCCCAATATGTAAATGGCCAAAAGGGGTGCAATGAAAAGCATATGTTACTCACATTTTGCCTTAGAAAAACAAGTCGGAGGCTTGGGCCTCCTGGCCCTGGCTCTCTGAAGCTGTGGTTTCCATTTAAGTCTTATCCCAAGCACTCATTCCCTGGACTGCTCATTTCTATCTTTTAATCAAGGCTGTAAAAAGCTACCAGGAATAGTTTTATTCTTCAAATGGGAATGAGCTATCTCATTGCATCAGTCTGGGATTTGACATGAACCTTTCAAACAATTATCAAGGCTCAAAAGGGATCAAACACCCACAATGCTTGGGCTTGTGTGGCTGCCTTGCAGGCCCAGGGAGAAGGAGTGGGCTGGGAAGGGTGTCCAGGGCAGATGAAATAAGATATTTATTGTCTGCCTTCTGTGGCAATGAGGAGTCACCTCACATTCATCCTAGAAACAAAACAGGACATAAGTAATTCGTGAACCCCAAAGCGCTCAGTGGTGGTGAGGTTTCACTTAGAATTCCTCCCATGGCTATGGAGCATGTTGTCTAGCCTAGTCTTACAATCTATAAAAGGCATCCTTTATGAAAACCCCACGAGAGTGCTAGTCTCTCAAACACCTCCTTTTGTTTTCTGAAGAAGAACGTTCTTGATTAACAGGGATCCAGCTGTTTGACTGATATTAGACATCATCTCATTAGAGGTCCACAAACCTGGATGCCTGCACTCATCTGTGCAGGGACAGCTTCCATGGGGCTGAAGTCCGGGTTCCCTGGAGACCTCTCCATGTCCAGCAGGCTGTGGAACTGAGCTGGCCCCTGAGTGAGCAGGGGAAGTCTAGTCTTTCAGCTGTAGAGTTATCTTGCTTTCCCAGCTCTGGTTAAATTTTGTCTTTTTATCTTAGCATTTCCATGATAGGCCATGGAAAAAAAGAAACTTGGAGATTGTTTCGCCTTTGCTGTTAAAAGTTGTGACCTTTGCTCACATTTGCCAGAGAAAGTGCTTATAGCACCAATTAACATGAATTATTAACTCCCAGATTAATAATTGATTAGAAAGCTAAAGGCCCTGGGCACTGCCACATCACACTATTGAGAAAGGAAAGAAGGAAACAATTTAGATACAATTAGAGCAGTTCAGGCAGGGCTTGGGAGAAGTAATGACATTTTGGCTTTTTAAAGGATTGCTTATTTCTCCTCTACTGCCACGTGGCTGGAGAGTCAAAAGTCACGAATAATTCATAGACTGACTCATGTGGATATTGGCTTTAAGATTTTTATTTAACAGATGTTTATATATCTCTTTCTTTGTATTAACTTCTGTTTGTAACAATTGCTCATATCGGTTCTTATTCATCATCATCATCATCATCATCATTCATATTAGGGGTGTGTGTGTGTGTATGTGTGTGTGTGTGTATGCTCGCATGTGTATGGACCAGTGGCTAATCTCAGGTGTTTCTCAAGAACCATGTATCTTGTTTTATAAAGACATGGTTTATGGTTGGTCTGGAGCTCATTAAGTAAGCAAAGTTAGCAGCAAACCTCAGAGATGCATCTCTCTCCGCCTCCCCAGGAGTGGGGTACAAGCATGTGCCACTGTACCCAGGTTTTTGACATGGGTCTTCATGCCTGCAGGGCAAGTACTTGACTGACTGAGCCATATGAACCAAGTCTACAAAGCAATGCTTTTGGTGAATCTTAGCAGCCTTTTACATTAGACACTGTGGCTATCATCCACCAGGAACAGACAAGCTCAGGAGAGGCAGGGGAGCCACACAGAAAGATGCCTGGTGACCAGTATTTCACTTAGTTTCACTAAGAAACTGCCATTACTGAATGGCTTGAGCAACAGATTTTTTTTCTTATGGCTGGAGGTGGAAGTCTAAGCTCATGCCCAGCTATGATGGCACACACCTATAATCCTAGTGCTTGGGAGATAGAGGCAGGAGAATCAGAAGTTTAAGACCAAACTCAGCTGTATAGTGAGCTTGATGCTAGCCTGTGATACAGAAAACAATATGTCCCACACACACACACACACACACACACACACACACACACACACACACACACACGGAGTCAGTCAGGGTTTCAGCTGCCCTAGTTCCCCTCTAGGGTTGGGAGGAGAAACCTATTCCAGGCTTGACTCTTGGATTCTGATGCAGCTGGCAGTCTCACACAGGGTTTGGCTTGTAGACAAACTGTAACATCTTTAATCTTCGCATGGTCATCTCCTCATGGGGGGGGGGCTGTGTCTGAGCTCCCCCTTTTAAAAGAAAGCCAATCATAGCAGATTAGGACCCACCCACCCCAGTGACCTTAGTGAAACTTGATCAGCAATGTGAAGAACTTGTCTGAGGCACTGGAGGTTAAGATGCCAACTTCTGGATCTTGGAGATGGAGCGATGGCATACAACCCACAACATGGAGAGAACCAAGTCTTTAGTAGGTCATAAAACCTGGGTCCCTGCTCATCACCACTAATGCTGCATTGTCTCCTGTTCATCACCACCAAGATACACCGTCTCCTGCTCATCACTGCCAGGATACACTATCAACTGCTCATCACCACCAAGATACACTGTCTCCTGTTCATCACCACCAAGATACACTGTCAACTGCTCATCACCACCAATGCTGCATTGTCTCCTGTTCATCACCACCAAGATACACTGTCAACTGCTCATCACCACCAATGCTGCATTGTCTCCTGTTCATCACCTCCAAGATACACCGTCTCCTGCTCATCACCACCAAGATACACCGTCTCCTGCTCATCACCTCCAAGATACACCGTCTCCTGCTCATCACCACCAAGATACACCGTCTCCTGCTCATCACCTCCAAGATACACCATCTCCTGTTCACCACCACCAAGATACACTATCAACTGCTCATCACTACCAAGATACACTGTCTCCTATTCATCACCACCAATGCTGCATTGTCTCCTGTTCATCACCACCAAGATACACCGACTCATGTTCATCACCTCCAAGATACACTGTCTCCTATTTATCACCACCAAGATACACTGTCTCTTGCTCATCACCACCAAGATACACCGTCTCCTGTTCATCACCATGAAGATACACCGTCTCCTGCTCATCACCACCAAGATACACTATCATCTGCTCATCACCACCAAGATACACTGTCTCCTATTTATCACCTCCAAGATACACTGTCTCCTGTTCATCACCACCAAAATACACTGTCAACTGCTCATCACCACCAAGATACACTGTCTCCATCTTTGGTCCTTTCGAATATATAACGCTTATGAAGATAAGTTCAATGAACTATCTTATCATCTTGTACCCAAGAACTGTCCCCACCTTTTGTGCACCCTGGCGACAGCATCCAGTGACTTTGACCTTCTTGGCAAGCTCTGCTTTCCTAGGAGGAGGGGGCTGGTTAGAGCTGGAAGGCCTCTGAGAGTACTTCTGAGCAGGGCTGCAGTTTGGGAATCTAAAAGTTCCTTCAGCTCCTTTTGCCTGACTTCTGTTTCCCTAAATTCATATGAAAGAGAGAGATAGATAGAGATAGAGATGGAGGGAAAGAGAAAGAGAGACCCTTTCCCCCTTCCAGATGTTTTGAACCATAATTAGGGATTGTTACATTCCTCTGCTACTTTGTAAACCTTCCTGGAAATCTATATCTATATCTATATCTATATCTATATCTATATCTATATCTATATCTATATATAGATAGATAGATAGATAGATAGAGAGAGAGAGAGAGAGAGAGAGAGAGAGAGAGAGAGAGAGAGGGTCTCACACTGTCTCCCAAGTTGACTTGGAACTCCAGAGGATAACCCTGTCTCCATTTTCCAGTGCCACAATTGAAGATGTGCTGTCACACCTGGCTTCCATGTCATCTGACACCAGAAAGAAGAAACACTGACCCTTTGGCATTTTAACTTGAAGAGGGATCTCAGCTTTGGATTCCTTATCCATTCCTGGAAAAAGGAAAATAAAAGAGTGGAAATCAGATATCCAGGACAAGTAGCAGGACAGAGATGGGGTTCATCACCCCCCATCGACACACTGCAAGCAAAAGGACATGGGCTTGGGTTTTAGGAGATTGTGCCTTGCTTCATTCAGTGTCACTTTTGAAGAAGAGCAGCAGCACACACGATGTTGATTATCCTAAGGATGATGCCAACAGTGGGGGGTTCATGAGTTCCGTGTCATTCCTCCATCCACTTCACCATGGAGCTCACGGTGACAGCTGCCCGGAATTCATTATCAAGGTTAGGTATAGTAGGAAATTACCAATACGGAGTCAGGTAGAAATATAAGGGTATTTAATAGGGAAAAGCCTTAAAATACAGAGCGAACCAGCCAGCCGGTGGTAGTCTGTACAGCAAGAAGCAAAGAGAAACCGAAACCGAAAACTCACTCCCCCTACTCACTCTGACCACGCCCTCACAAGCCTGCTCAGGTACTCCTGTAGCCAGCCCCTAAGAAGGCGTGGCTACAGCTTCCCCTACAGTTAGGTTCTCAAAGCTATATGCTATATTTGGGTCTCTACCTCAATGCTTTTTTTTTAGGAAATTTTCTTTCTTTGTGTGCATAATCTTAATAGTATTTCTGTGAAGCTTATGTACTAGATGGGATTCTCCACATTTCTTCACCCTTGAAGCAAAGGATGTGGTCAAATCCACAGCAGGAGGTTGTCAGGTGGGGAGCAGAGCCCTCCTCTGTTCCAAGGAATTATCTGTCAGGTCAGGGTTTAGCCTGATTAGAGATTTGCTCACTTCTGAAAGCAGAACTCCCAGAGTCCTTTCTAGCTGGACTCCTGAGGTCAGAAGACATGAAGAGCTCACTTAAAGGTACCTTCAAGCCCAGAGCTCAGCTTGGGTTGGTTTGTCCTGCTGGCTCTCTAGAGATTAGCGTTGTTCAGGTACTTCTGACTCTTATTTTGAAATAATTGACCAAGAAATTTCATGCCCCTCCTGTCTCTCTCAAGGGCTGCTCTTCTTTGGGCCCACAACAAACATTAATTCATGCAGAATATAACAAAGAGATTCATCGGCTGCAAGAAATAGCAAGCTTTTTCTCTGTTTTTTTGCAGTGTGACTTTGCAGTTCTGCCCCTGAAGCCTGGGGCAGCAGGGGGAGGGGTAAGGGGTGAGTCTCAGAGAATTTAAGAGAGGAGAGCAAATATCATCAAAATACATTGTATGCAATTCTCAAATAATACAATTTTTTAAAAGAAATATTCTACAACAGATGAAAAGATCTCGAGAGTGATAGCACGGGAAGAGCATCCTCTTCCGAGAGAGAGGTCCACAGCTGGCCCCTCCCTCACAGCTCAGAAATAACCGAATCCACTTCTAGCCTGGAGAGCCTTGAAGAAATGCATTCAGTGTGAGCCACTCGGTGTGTACTTCTTGGGAACATCCAGCAAAGCACAGGTGGAGGCTTCTGGAGTTCTTATCATTTCCCGACAGGTAGGCCCCGTGTCATAAAGGCTGGCTGAGCATGTGATTCTTTGTGCTCCTCTATCTGTCTGTGATGGAGGTCAATGTCAAGGCCACCACCGTTGTGAGTTGTTCTTGTGACACCAAGGCCAAGTAGGAATGATAAAGCCCAATAGCCCCGCCCAGGGATGAAGGTCGCTGAGGAGTCATTTGTTACAGCATGGGCTTTCTGAGAAGAGGAATTAAACTCACCTAATCTCATTTCTTCTGATGACAAGTGATGATCACAGGGCTCCAACTTCTGGAAAGTGCGATGCATCTGTGTGTTTCTTCAGAGATAAACAAAGTTAAGGGAGAGGTTATAAATGGGGGCCGCGCCCAGAGACCATGACTCAGTGACTCCAGCTGTGTCCCTCACTCTAAATGGATTCCCAGCCCTCCTGGGGGATGGTTTCACTTTCTGATTCTGTCTCAGCAGCTCTGGAAGGCAGAAGGAAGTCAAGAGGGGATTTCCTCCTGCTTCTTCCTGTAGGAAGCTGTAGTTAATGGGAGCCAAAAAAACTTTCCAAAATGCACTGGGCAAGAGACATGGCTTAGTGGTAGAATGCTTGTCTAGCACAAGTGAGGCAGGCCCTGGGTTTATTCTTAGCACCAAAAAGAAAAAGATGAAAAAAATCATTCTTAAGTGTTTACTAGTGACGCGTTACTTCCTTAGAAGAAAGGTTTTGTCTTATTTTCAGCATTTTCCCTCAGTGTCTGATGCTGACCTGGTCTGTGGAGTTTGGCCTGCAGATAATTCAGTGCTGTGTCATCAGGACCTGTGTTTAGGAAGAGTTGTTCTCCGTAAAATGTCAGAGGAGTCTGCTTACACTCATAAGGGTTCCTGAACATCTTCTGTTGCCTCCTTCACAAGAGCTATCCTAGGCGATTACAGCAGATAATGGTGGGGGCCCTAGGCTGGACCAGGGGGAGATGAGGTCAAAGGGCACACATCTGAGAGAGGTAGAAACCACGATCTTCCGGTAGATTTATAGGGTACAAGGGTAGTAGGTAGAAGGCGAGACAAACTCCTCTATATACCATGTCCTAAGAAAAGAAGGGTCATGACAAATAGGAAGGACCATTGTCAAGGTTAAGACTGCTGGTGCTGGGGGCATTGGAAGCCATTTGCAAAGCTTAGGCTTATTGCTGCAGCTGATGATATAAAGAGGCAGCAGGAATCCTGGTCCCCAGGGATACATCTGCAGTTCACGCTCACTTGTTGAGAGTGTTGAAGTCCAGAGCCTTGAGTGATGTAACATTTGGGAAGGGTCAGGAGGTGAGATATTTAAATTTCTGCCTCTGTGCAGATGCACAGGACTCTATGCAGAGTTGCTTTGGGTGATGGGGACATCAGATGGAGCTGTGGCTTTGGGTGATGGGGACATCAGATGGAGCTGTGGCTTTGGGTGATGGGGACATTAGACGGAGCTGTTGCTGATGGAGTTGAGTAGAGCCCTGCCTGGTTGCTCTAGGGAAGTCTAACTGTGGAAGGAGGATGATTCTGGAACTCTGCGATGTGTGGGGAGGGTGCTCCATCCATGCCCCTGAGTTCGCTTAGTTACCACAGGGTCTTGGGAAGTCACCTCTTTCCCAGTGTTCCTCTGTTTACTCATGTTTTGAATAGGGGGCAGTGATTGCACGCTCAGGGTAAATACGATCATTAGATTGTGGCATGGTTTACAGGTGAGTTTAAAATTATTATTTTGGTGTTTCAGAAGGAAGGAGACAGGGGCTGGAGAGATGGCTCAGTGGTTGAGAGCAATGACTGCTCTTCCAGAGGTTCTGGGTTCAAATCCCAGCACCCACGTGACAGTTTAAAACTGTCTGTAACTCTGGTTTCACGATCTGAAGTCTTCACACCAATGTACATAAAACAAAGGTAAGTAATTTTTTTTTTAAAAAAGCAAACAAATTTTCATTTTCATTTTCAAAAGTAAAATAAAAAATAAAAGGAAGGAGACATCAATAGTGGCCCCAGCTGCAGCAGGACCCAGACGTGGTCCTGGGCAGCAGTGTTGACTTGGACATCACCATGTCTCAGGGGGCAGCCCCAGAAGCTAAAGGAAAGTCTATGACCTGTCTTCCTGCTGCCTGTCAAGGGCAGGGAAGCCACTTTGCCATGGTGTTGGTGACTGCAGACTCACAGTTGAGAAAGAAGGACAGAGAAGGCTTCTGTGACAACCCTTAACCCCACTCACCCCCAAAGTGACAGGAAGCCATTGAAGAGAACTCTTAAAAATTGTGATAAGGGGGCTGAGGTGTAGCTCTCCATGCCCAAGGGCTTATGTTGAGGGCTGGGGAGAAGGGCTCAGTTCTCTTCAAGGGCTAGCCAGGCATTTGACCATGCTACAGTGAGTGTATGGGTACACAGATTGGACTAGTTCTCTTCTTTCTTCTCCTTTTTCTGTGTGTATGTGGGGTCCCAAGGGTGGGAGGGGAGGACTTGGGAGGACTGGGAGGTGAGTGTGCTTGGGATTCATGATGTGAAATTCCCAAATAATCAATAAAAATAGTATGAAAAATAATACAGACATACAACATATAATACATACTTTAAATAAAAGAAATTAAAAAGGAAGGAAACCAGAAGTGGGGAGGAAAAAGTCAAGACCACTTAAATGCTATCTTGTTCCTCACTGAGTCTACACTGAGATTTTTTAAAATTAATTTGGTGAACTTTGGGCATTCTAGAAAACCACAAGGTAGCATTTGTTTTTTAATGCCATGTATCTTTATTCTCTCTCTCTCTCCTCTCTCTCTCTCTCTCTCTCTCTGTGTGTGTGTGTGTGTGTGTTTTGTCTGCAGGTATGCCTGTGTGCCACATGCCTTTCTGGTGTTTGTGGAGGCCAAAAGATGACTTGAGTTACAGATGGTTGTGAGCTACCAATATGGATGTTGGGAATTAAACCTGGGTCTTCAGGAAGAGCAGCCAGCATTCTTAACTGCTGAGTCAGTTCTCCAGCCCTGCGTAGGCTGTAGTTCTTCAAATCTGTTTCTCAGATATGAAGGCTAGAGACACTGAACACAGTCACTGAGCTTACATTCTGACAACCCAGACTCCAGTCTCTGGAAGCCTAAGTCTTGGTGTTGGCAGCCCTCCTCCCACTATCAAGAATCTCTTTAAAACTGCAGAACTGTGCAATGTGCTTTAACCACGGGGTCCAAAACCACAAAACCCATCACAGTGGCTGGCAGAGCAGATGATCCGGGAGAGGATGTCTTTGAAAGACCAAGACAAACATTAAATTAATCAACCAGTGCTCTAGGGGGGAAATGGTCACTAATTTCAAATTTTTCATCTCTGGAAAAATCAATTATTATTATGTTTATTGATGTTGTATTTGTCACTATTTTCAGCCATTTCCCCCGATGACATGGGTTAAAATAAGAACATTGTTATAAAAGAGATTAGGCATGTTCGATTCTGTCCCTGGACTTTCTACCTTGCAACTACCTTGGGTTTGGGAGACAGATTAACTGCTGTGGGGGCAAAGGCTCCGTTTGCTTTTCTTTGCTCTTCAGTCTGGTAATTGCTTTGGCCTCTGTGAGATTTTGAATATTTAGTTAAGTACTGGTTAATGCCTTTTAGTGCCTGGGCAGGATTTTGGAGGCATGTATATGAAGTGACTACTCTCTTGCAGCAAGCTGGGACTTGGGATTTCTTCCCTTACCCTGAAAGGTCCTGAGAACCATTGCTTCACTCTAAGGTAAAGCTCTCCAAGGTCAGAGAGGGGCTTCCAGATGATGTGTCTAATCGCTTAAGTGGCCTTGACTCACAGAAGCCAGTCACAGTTACGTATGCACATTGTTCCAAACCTAATTCTCCACTCCCTGTTGGGTGACTCTTGGCCTTTTGAAACACTTGGTGATTTGGAGTTCCCACAACAATGATCCAGACATGTTTGGCAATAATAGCACCACAATAGAGAGGTCATTCTCTCATTTGTCTGCATGCATAATTGCATGAATATATAATATATGAAAACATGCAAAGTATAGTAAAATATATGGCCTACATATGGCATAAAGTCATAGTCCTTGTTTCATTATGTTCATTAACTGGGGAAATTCTATTTAAAGTACATTTGTAATATTACATATGTAAATATACAGCATGTATCCTAATACATGTGTTAAGCAAAGCATTCTGGGAAAATGCAAATATGAATTTACTATTGACTGCATTCTGAAAGTATACCACGTAGCAAATACTCTGCATTGTAAAACATTTAATATATCACAAGTGAATGATTTCTCAGATGATAAATGTATTTATAAATCCTTACTTGATTTAGGTATTTACAAAGTCAAAACTACTTACTGTCATGCATTTAAATAACACAAAAGCTTATATAACAATATCAAAATAAAGACCATCCCCCCTCCCCTCCCTCCAACTTACTCCACATGTGACAGGTTTAAGAGTCTGATGTCCCGACAGCATGATACAAGGCCCATGTGATGGCTGCCTCAACGTGGCTGTGATCAAATTCCTGGGGACAGTTATTTTGCCCATTGTGTCAGAGGAATGTGTTTTGTCCCATGAACTTGGGCAGGATGTCAGGATGTCATCATGGTGGAAACAGTGGCGGGGGGGGGGGGTAATCTTATTGTACCCAGACAAAAGGCAACTAGAAGGGGACTGGGGACATTTTTAATGCTCTGAGACACAGAGCTCTACTTCGTCCAACCAGGTCTCTCCACTTGAAGTCTCTAGAACTTCTCACAGTGGTACCACCAAGTGGGGACCAAGCATTGGGCATGAGGCTGTGAGGCCATCTTGTATCCACACCACAATAGCATATAAGTATAGTGGACATCCTCCTGCATCCCTTATTTTTTAAATGATTCCCTTTTACCCCGTATCATGAAAGCATTAGAATTTATTAGCCATTCATTTGTTGGCAGTGTCTGATGTTATTGCCAGTTTGTTGGACACTCATTCTTGTATTGTCCTTCAAACAGATTCTGAATGGGCAAATGTTTGTGTCAGTAGGCGTGTTCTCCTTGTAGGTGACGTTCTGTGATGGGCCGTAGGAGCTTTCAATATAGAGGCGTCAAGGCAGAGGCTGACTTGGACAGCAGTGAGCTTTATTACCATCTTGAAGAGAGAGAGATGCTGAAGACTTGAATGAGGATTACCATCATGTGTTGGATTCCAACTTAATATAGACAAGGACTTATTTTGACTTGAGATAATGGGTGGGTGCATTGGCTCTGTGGAATCTCACCCTGGTTTTAGTGTGGGGCCCAGTGAACCTGTTCATAAGGTAGCTGAAGAGCAAATGAGAGAAAGAGGGAGAAACAGATCACAGTTTTCTCAAGATCTGTCTGCAGTAACATATAGATGTCCCAGGAAGTCCCACCTCTTGAAGGCTCCTCCCCCTTTTAATAGCACCCAGCTGGGGACCAAGGCTTTAGTTGTTATTATATGTTATAATATATAAAATATTATATTATGTCTACTTTGGTAGACAGGTAAGATTCAAAATTACAGCAGGTAAGGAGCCTGGAAAGATTCCAGAATTACTTTCCATTTTCAATTTGGTAGGGCTGAGCTGATGGTAAAGTTGATAGTCATTTCTAATCACAATTAAAGCTATGGTCAACTCTTGGTTTTTCAGTGGTGACACAGCCTGGCCAGGAACAGGACACAGCTGCACAATGCTCTTCACTAGCTGATGAATGCTGACTGTTCATTTTAGGAACAGGTGGTGTCTGGGGAGTAAATCCCACTGGAGTGGAGGCAAGAGACTAAGAAGCAGGGTTGTGATTTCTGCCTCCATCAAAGGCAACCCTTCTTCATCTTGAGACCTTACCTCTCTGAGAGGCAGTCAGCTGAAGAGGGGTGAAGGCTTTCCAGTTCACTGCAAGTCTTTACTATGGTAACCAACTGCTCTTAGGAAATAGAATTTATAAGGACGGAAGGGAGGAGGCACAGGCGTAACAGATGGACAGTGTCTGTCAGTAGTGACACCACAGGCCAGGGCCAGCCTGCTGCAAGTTTCTGTGGGAAATGTGTGGTCTTTGACTAGAGTTGGGCTGAAAAAGATAGACCAAGGAGAATGAAGGAGAGGGAACAAGAGAACACAGACTGGGGGACCCTTCTCTTTTCACTGTTTATTCTAATCTACATTGCAGGTAGAATCCCAGCACCCCACTTCCTTCCTGCAACCAGTAAAGAGCCCTAGCCTCATACCGGGCTTCAGACCCAGAAGGACCATACACGAAGCAGACGCAATGTTCCTCCCCCGACTGACGGTATTTTCCTGGGACCCTGTCTGAGTTGGGCGTTGGCTCTATCATCCTCAGACTGATAAAACCCTGACAAGCTGAAATCTCCTGTCTACAGTTGGTAGACTGTTGGGTTTAATGCACCTGCTAACCCAATGGTGCTATGATACTTCCCACTTCTTTGCAGAAAATAAAAAAAAAAAAATGTAGAAACGGTCAATCATGGAAGCCATGGCAGGAAGAGTACATGTTCAAGTTCAGCCTGCACTGCATAACAAGCTATGGACCAACTCGTGTCACAGAATCAAAATAAAACTGAGATGTAATCCAGTGGAAGAATGCTTGCTTATCTTGAAAAGCAAGGCCCAGGGACTGATCTCCACCGTCACCACAAGTGGCCAATCATTTGTTCTGCTGTACCTGGGGCACCGGCAGTGTTCACAGCTGGGCAGACTTACAGTGGGAAAACCACACTCCCCTTCTCCGTGAAGTGTAGAAAATCACAAAGATTGGACAATGCAGGCTTGTTCAGCCAGGGGGACGAGGTTCAGTGTCCAAGGTGTGCGACCTCTCCAGGCGTGTCTGACAAATGATTGCAAGGGTTTAGGGAAGTTTTGAGCTGTTGGCACACACACACACACACACACACACACACACACACACACACAGGAGGGTGGGTCAGCTCTGTAATTAACCGGCAATGTTATACATGTTTAAAAGCCCAAACCTTGGTTGTGATTCATCTTCTCATAAACAGAGCACAGAGAAGCCTTGTTGGATTGCAATGTGAACTTACTACATCTTGAACCATTTAAGCATTTACCAATCAATTAGAAGGACACATTTAAAAAGTTGATCAAACTCACAAATAAACTTTCTTTATATGGTGCTCGGTTTCAACTTTTCTTAATGGGCTCAAAACGTGTGTATCTTAGTTATTTTGGTGCCATGGGATTCACTGAGAGTAATACATTCTATGTTTGATTTCCAAGCCGTTAGAATGGGAGCTATCTAAGAAATGATTGTTGTTTTGGCAGGATTTCACTTGGTAACCCAGGCTTACCTTGGACATGGAATCGTGCCTCTGCCTTCAGGGTGCTGGCATTACCAAATACCACTCAGGAGAGTAACTTTGCTTTTCAGGGGGCTGAAGGAAAGAGTAAGGAGATAAATATGACCAATATACATTGCATACATGTGTGAACTCCCCCCACACTAAATAGATGTACAAAGACTTTGTAGTATTTGCTCTACAACCTGGGTCTTTTTTATTTATTTCATTGAACTGCTGTCCAGAAGGGTTAGGTCAGTTTTCATGAATGTGTACACTGGTAAGGTCGTGTTGTCCCTTCTTGGATAGCCTTTCCAAACAGCCTTGTTACTACAGGAGGGAATTATGGAAATTCTGCATTTGAGGAGTCCAGAGTTAAGGAGAAAAAGTGCTCCAGTCATAATAGATTTATCTCCTGTAAGTTTATTATTTTGGGGACAGTGACACTATCTGAAGATTGACAGTCCTCTGATTCCATTTGTTCCATAGCTGCACATTGGTGACCAGCCAGCTTGGCAGTAAGTTGGCAATGTTTAATAAGATTGTCCTTCCGTGATTGAAACAAATGACTCTCCTTTTGTCATCAGAAATGGAACATCTATGCATTTGTTTTAGTAATACAAGATCTGACATCATTAATAATCCAGGCTGGCAACTTGTGCTTGTTGAATACAATAGATGAATGTAAAATTTAATTTTTTAGTAGATCATAAGAGATGTGCCAATATATCAAAATTAATTTAGGCTGACTGCCTTTGAGGTGGGAGACATTCCATTGTCTCTGCTTTGGTCAGGCTGGCTCTTGTGAGTTGGGTATACTGACTTCAACCTTGGGGACAGCTGTCCTGTAGTGTCCAGTGGCTTTTCTTAGAGGCTTCTCTCTCTCCAACTTCCTCCAACAATCAAGTGACTGTGCATCAGCCCCTAACGATGAATTGCAGACCCCACCTTCATGTTCCTCTCCTGCTGGACCACACCTAAGGAACACTCTCTTATTGGATTATCTGGAACTCCTCTTCTCAGGACTGTAGTACAGCTCACTATGGGGGTGTTCCTCAGATTTCTCTCTCTCAGACCCAGCACTTCAATCTTGGGCTTATAGACGCTTGCTTTTCACTGGTTTCAGTTCTTGTGACGCCACTAGGAACTTCATCAGTCCTTGGCCTTGAAGAGAAGCAAGACTATTAGACAAAACTTGAAAACAGGGTGCCTAACATAGAATATTATTGATCATGTCCAAAAGGACCAAATGCTTACAAACAAAAACATGGAACTTTATAATCCAGGAGGACCGTGTGGTGTAACCACTGCTCTCAAGACATGGGGACTTGAGGTATAGTCTGTTCTTTGCCTAAGGTGTTCTTGACTGAAACAAATGAGAAGATCATTATAGACCTGAAACAGGACAGGATAGGGAGGACAAGATGAAATAGTTCCAAGGTCATCCAGGGATATCTGAGATAAAGCAGAAGGGCAAAGGGCAGATAGGGTCAGGCTATAACGGTCATGGGAGCATAGCCCAGGATGACGTATAACTGCAAGATTTGTGTTCTGGTATAGTTCAGCCATCTCCCATCCCTGGCTGAGGCAGAGCCTCACCCTCTGAGTTGGGGCAAGGGAGCTATGGTGGGTAGGAGAGGAACATTGCCACTTGCTGAATGGGTGTGTGTTGTGTCGTCATCTACTGACAGCAAACTAGGGCTTTAGAAAAGAAGATGATCCTCCCATGACCAGGCCTATGGGGGACACAGGACTCAGGGACTCCGATGTCTCAGCCCCAAGTCCTTCAGGGGTGGAGGAAACGGGCTCTGGGAGGGAGGTTTCCCAGTTAAAGACTTTGGTGGGGATAAGGATGAGGCAGAGAAGCCATCCATAGTCTCTCCCAGCTGCGGACTTTTCAATTTACTTGCCAGGTGAGATGTTGGAACTGATACAATCATGGCATGACTATATTATATGATGTTGATATTATAGAGTATCACATATTATTTCTGTGTGTAATTATGTAATAGAGTAACCAGCTGATTTCTGATTGGATGTGAGGCCCACTCAAAAAGAGGGGTCCTATGCCTGGTACTGTAAACTTGGTCAAGAATTCGAGGCTCAAAAGTTATAGGCCTTAGTGGGGCACCTATTGTTTTTGCTTCACTAAATGAATACTTCCTAAGCAGAAAGGTACGTCTTTTACGTTGGCTGGAGGACAGACGGATAATAAACCAACCAATGTGATATGGTTAGGTATGAGCTAAGGACTGTGGACAGCGCTGTTACCTATGGGCATCAGAGGCCTAGGTCAAGGCTCGTAACTCACGATGGCGCTCATATGGTGATGGGTTATTCTGATTGTCAACTTGCTTAGGTGGAGAAATGCCCAGAGGGAGTGAAACACACTGTTATGAATATCCATTTGCATTCCTAGAGACCATTTAGCTCACAAGGGCCCTGATGTAGTGAGTTGATTTAGCCACTGATGAGTTTAAAATGTGGGAGGTAGAAAGCCACGGATGGTGGTGGGGCCTGGTGAGAGGAAGTGTGTCACAGGAAGCAGCGGGGGGGAGGGGGTAGCTCTGATTTCTTCCTGTTTACTGCTGTCCTTCCTGTCTGTGTTAAGATGAGCTTTGCTGCTACAGGTTCCCTGCCTTGACGGACAGGCAACTCAGAAACCCCGGGAAAAAGCACCCCTTCCTCCTCTTGTGTTCTTTCACCAAGTGTCATGATGCATCGAGGAAGCTAACCGATGCAGGCTCTAGAAGTGTGTGAGACAGGGGCACACACCAGCTCTTCACTGTCAGCAGCTCAGAACCTCTTTCTGTCAGGGACAGATGATTATCACAGACCCCTGCTGCCTGGCTGGCAACAGCCTGGCCACAGAAGATCTGTTCTCGTGCCTGTCAGTGAGAGTGTCTCTGGTAAGAGTTCTCATTGTTCAGAGATGTCCAGAGATGGATTCTCTTGGCAACATGGAGAGAAGGTTGATGGGGAATGTTCTTCTGTAAATATGTTTCTCTTGCTGGCTAATGAATCAAACACTGATTGGCTGATTGCCTAGACAGGAAGTGATGTAGCTGGGCAGAATCAGGATATAATCAGGGACAAACAGGAAATCGCTCTCTTCTCTGTAGAGACGCTGAGCAGTCTTCATGTAGCAGGCAAAGGAGTTGCAGGTCCAGCATTCTCTGGTAAGCCAAGACCACGTGAAAATACACGGGTTGATAGAAGTGGGTTAAAATTAAGACAGAGCTGGCCAATGTGAAGCCCTAGTTTCATAATTAATATAAGTCTCCGTGTGTTCATTTGGGGCTGAGGCAGTGGTGGGGCCTATCCTAGCATCCAGCAGCAGAGGGAGGGCATGACACAGCAGCTCATAGAGGCAGCTGTTAGAGGCTGGCCACATAGCTCCTCGCAGCGCTTGCTCAAAAAAACAACACACGACCAGAAACGACGGCACATGGATTTCTGAGTTACTGGTGCTGAGTGTTCTCTGAGGACGTGAAAGCTTTCCTGTTCTTCACTTGCCCCTCCCATTCTGTGGGTATAAGGGGATGGGGGTGCAGGCAGGGGCCGCATGAAGTTGGACCCTTTTTTAGATCTGAAAGGATGGAAGCGTCTAGAGATGACCCCTGTGTAGGTTGTGGCTGCAGGCAGAGAAGAACGGCCATAGTCAAATGGAGGCATGAAAGATAAGTATTCCAGTCTTTGCCTGCAACTCTCCAGTCTTCTGCCCTCCCACACAAGCTAAAAGCAACTGCATTAACAGTTGCATTTCACAGTGAGTTTGGAGAGCATTTGGGGTCAGGCCCACACAACTGTGATTGACAGACAGTCTCACCAATGCTTTCTTCTGTTTTAAAATAAGCAAGTATACAAGTGTTTCATATATTCTTTCTGGAAGTTCTTCCTATTTTCCCTTCTTCCACATGAATGACGTTGGTGGGCGGGAGCCCCAGGAATCTCTGGGCTGCACCTGTGTGCTCGG